ATTTTGATATAAATTTTATTATCTTTATACGGTAATTAAGGCACAATATACGGCATATTAGTATTTTATGGCAATTTGTAAGGGTAAATAAGTTTTGTTTGTTGTTTGTAATTTGGGGCAATGTGTTTATTGACCGACTTCAAAAGAAAAAAGTAGAGGAATTGATTTTAATAGTAATTTAATTAGTAAATCAAAAATAAAAAAAAATATATTGGGACATTAACACACATCACCATCAAGTTCCATGGTAAGCTACGAGGCCTGTGTTATGGATACCAGATAGCTGATACGCTACACATATGTAACTTTAAATACACTTAATGATTTAAAGTTACATAATATGTGTAGCGTATAAACTATATTAAATAACTTTTAAATAGACTTCGAAAATATCTGGGGGCTTAGCCATGTTGACTATCTACAATCGTTAACGATTTAGAAAACTAATGAAATGTATGGGCATTACGTATTTTGAACGATATGTCACGTGGTCAAAACGATCGAATTGAAAATTCGTAGCCAAGTTTACAAGGTACATAGTTCGTTCTAAAAATAGAAACGAACTGAGCGATTCTACAATGTGGATCACAAGATCTCATACAAAATGGTAGCCAAGTTGCACGTTTGACAAGCGCTTGAGAATTCAAATCTAAGTTCTTTAACGCTATCTAAACGAACGGCGAGACCCTTGAGTTAACGCTAAAAAAGTGGCGTCTATAACTTTAAAGTTTAGAATCAGCTCACAGCTGCTATAAGACAGAAGTGTTTTGTTAATTCGCGTTGATTTTAGACTATTTATACTTTCTTTTTAGCATTTAAAATGTATAAAATGTATACCTTAAATATGTTGCGGGCCGGTCATAACGAAGAAGTGTGGTTAAAACGCCGGCAAAGAGATTTATATCGTCAGTATATCGAAACAATACATGAAATGTCGGGCACTTTGTTTATACAACGATTTCGGTTAAGCAAAGTGACTTTCGAAGCCCTCGTTCAAGACCTACGACGGAAAACTTCTTTAAAAGGATCCAATGAGATTCCACTAGAAGTTAAGGTAAGATATGCCAAATATGTAATTCTGCTGTTTTAAGTACAAGAATAAATGTGCCTAGCCTACCATTTATTTTGTTTCATTACATGAGTTCATGAACACACGCACGCATGGTGTAACTTGCATAAGACTTTTGTTAAATGTACATGATGAAAATGTGATATTTTAATTCAATGTTAAACAATACATATATACCAGCAAACAGTCCATTTAGTTATCGAAGCCTACACAACCCTAACAATCACTATTATTTATTTCTTTTTGGCTGTCTTTTATAGGTTTTGTGCGCAGTTAGTTTCCTGGCTACAGGGTCCTATCAACGAATTGTTGGTATTACTCACAATCTTCCTCAACGCACAACTAGTCGCTGCATCCGACAAGTAGTGGATGCTTTGAACCACCCCGCTATTATGGCAAAATGGATTGTGTTTCCGAAAACAAGGCAAGACAGAGGACATGTAAAACAAGAGTATGTATCATATTATATATTTACAATTTTACTCTTAGGTACTGCATTTAATAATATAACTTATTGTTTTAGGTTTCAGAGTAGATTTGGTCTGCCTGGTGTAATTGGGTGCATAGATTGCACCCATGTGGCTTTAGTTAAGCCCAATGATGAAGAACATGTTTTTTATAACAGAAAAGGGTATCATTCATTAAATGTTCAAATGGTAATTGTATTTATTTATGACTTGTTTCAGGTAAAATAATATAAAAACATTTCTGAATATTAGTTTCACTTTACAGATTTGTGACAGTCATCTTCGCATCACAAATGTGAATGCAAAGTTTGGTGGAGCTACACACGATTCACATATATGGTCATCTAGTAAAGCTGAATCATACATGCGTGAACTTCATCAAAATAATGAATAAGTATGTTTATTAGGTAAGTGTTTACAAAAATAACATGAAAGATGTAATTGATATGTTAGTAGTAGTAGTAGTAGTAAGTAGTAGTAGAAGAATTTGTTTGTTTTGTTATATGTTATGACTCCCATCCTCAATGCAGTTCCAGGTTCAAGAGAAGAACTATATACCCAAAAACATGTGCAAGCGCGTAATTGCATTGAACGCTGTTTTGGATTACTCAAAGCACGGTGGAGATGTTTGCTTCGAGATAGGACACTTCACTATCATCCTTATGTAGCTAGCAAAATAATAGCGGCATGTTGTGTCCTGCACAACATTGCATTGAAAGCCCGTTTACCATTACCACAACCACTTCCAGTTGCACATGAGGATGAAAGTGATATACCCATGCGAGCTCCCATCTCTACCACTATAGATAGCCAAAATGAGCTAATCCAAGGTAGGGCCATGTTGAATTGCTTATTAAATAGGTTACATTAGGAGTATTATACAGTTTTAACTAGTTAAATAACTCATTGTATATCACAAAGATCTGAATCTAGAATTAAGACCTTTCTATGTTATTTTGTGCACCTGTGATAACAAAAATGATTTGATTTGATAGGTTTTAGGCTAGTTTTACATATTAATTAGTAATAGTAAGAAATATTCGATTTTTCACATTCGCGAATGCGAATTTTTATCTTCAATATTCACGAATGCAAATGTTGTTGAAATTAAATAAAAATAGGCTGCATGGAAAAAGAGCTTGAAATCTTTTATTTTTAAACTTTAGATTCCTTTACATCAATTTAATTACTAAGAATTTAAAGTTACAGCAAGTTTATTTATAATTAATATTAATTATTATTCTATTGGTCAACATTGTTATCAACATATAATTGTGTAGTTTATATTTCATTATCATTAATTTATAGTTATTATATAATACGTTTTAACGTTTAGTACAGATTTCTCAAAAATGAGATATTTTCCCGCAGTAAAAAGTATCCTTTATGTTGACGCAGCTACTATTATGCAAAATTTCATCAAAATCTGTCCAGTGATTTTCTCTTGATGCATTCTCAAACAGACAGACAAAAATTCTAAAAACTACAAAATCCGCCTCTGTGTCGGTAATAACATATTATTTATTAAATATATAGAAGAAAATATATAGTGAAAAAATATATCGTTGGAACCGAAGGTTAAATAAAAATTATGGATATTAGAACTTTACTTTTGTTTATATAACCGTTAAAATATTGTTTTGTTTTCTGTTAAAAGAAATTATAACTTTATTTACAAACGGTTCAGTTAAGTATTCACTATTATTATTTTTTAGTTTATAATTCATTAGCCTTAATTCTTAGAAAAATATATATAATGGAATGGAAAAATATACATGAAAGCCAAAGGTTATATAACATATTGGATATTATAAGTTTAAGTTTGTTTCAAATATATTTTTGTTTTCTGTAAATGAAAAGTTTACAATCTGCTAAATAAGTACAAACCTTCTATAATTGTAACAAGAGTTATAAGTCCTAGATATTGTTATTAATTTGATTAGTCTTCTCAAGTTTTTTTTTAACATGTTGGGACATTAACACACAGCACCATCTAGTTCCATCGTAAGCTACGAGGCTTGTGTTATGTATACCAGATAGTTGATACACTACACATATATAAACTTTAAAAACATACATATTTTAAATATAAACACCCATGACTGGAGTACAAACATTCATGCTCATCAGACAATGAATGCCCCCAGCGGACCTCTACCCGCGACCGCTGGCACAACAAGTAGGGTCACTACACACTGAGCCAAACGTGTCGTCAATTCAGTTCGTTCTTCACAAAAGAGATAATTTAGAATCTTTTTTTAAATATAAGGCTGGATATTCTTTTTTTTATTTAGATGTGATATTTTTAAATTTTTCAATTAGACTAACTAGAACAAATGGGAAATTATTTCGTTTAAGGCAAATACTTGTCAAAAAATATTCGAATATTCGTTATCTACATCACTAATATTAATGTGAATATTTGCATTTTTCTTTTTTTACTAGCTATATGTATATTATAAAATGTATGAATATAATATTTAATAAGTAATTGTAAAAATGAAACAAATGTTTTCATTATACTAAATGCCTTTATTATTATGTAAACTCTTATTGTAAGGAAGACGAGGTTTTTAGCATAAAAATGTACTTAAAATGTATTAACAAAAATAAAATAAATTTAAAAACATTAATAAAAATTTGTATTTAAAAAAAAAACCTATTTCCTTTTTGAAAAGAATTGCAAAGGATTGAAATAAAAGATGCTGAAAAATCAGACAATTTGACACATTCACAAGTGAGGCCACCATTACTGGACACATCAAGACAGAATAACTGTTGAAGCCAGTGATGATGGTCTCAACTGAGTTAAAATTTCTGTCAAACTATCTAGAATCCCAGTTAAACGGTTAAACATTTGATTTTGGATTTCTTCCATTTCAATCCTTCGCGATTCCAATCGAAGGCGTTCCATCTCCCTCTGATGGTTATTTTTTTCGAGGTCTTCCTCCAATTGCAGTCGGCGATTCTCGACGGTTACGAACTCGCTCGTGGCTCGTTCGAATGGTGTCTGTACTCGCCTTGTGCGTGCTCGAAGCAGCCTATGCCGCCGCGGCGTAGACGTGGCAGGTGACGCCACGGGCGAAGGGGTCGCCGGACGCCTTCGTCGTTGTGGTTCGCCTCGTATAGTTGTATTACGAGACGTCGCTGACGGCATCGGCGTGGTCACAGAGGCGAGCGGTGGTGTTGACACTCGGGTTGGAGGAAGACGTGAAAGTATAGAGGGAGATGGCAGTTGAGCTGATGGGGCAGGAGACGCTGAGGAAACAAAACTTATAGTTACAAACTGATATATATATATATTATATATATATATACTTCTCAAATAATGCCCTTACCAATGAACAGCATTTAATTTTTATTTATATGACTTAACGCTTTGTTAACCCTTTGGGCAATACAAAGCAAGGTGTGAATTATACATTATAATCCTTCACGTGCAAATACATTTTAGCACATAATCAATACAAGTAGAAAGTGCCTTCTATAGAATACAACATAATCTCGTCTGCGGCAGTTTGGGAGGGAAATTCAGTGTGGACGGTATCTCTGGATGGTGATGGTAGAGGGCTTCCTTGAAGTGGTGGTTCCTGAGAATATGACAAATATACATTAAAGAATTCAACCTAAACCCACTTATTAGTGGGTAGTAGTAATCTAATATTACTATTATTACAACTACTACTACAAAAATCACAAGGAAAGTAAATAACTAACATCAAATCCTCTCTCCTCAATTCCAACTAGACCAAAAACAGCAGACAAACCCATTATGCCCAACACCCTTTGTTCCGAAGCTGTGAGAGTTTGTCTGCTGCTTGGACCACCACCAGTACCACTAGCCTCGCGACGCATTGCCAAGGCCTTTTTTTTTGTTTTGGCTTTCCAATCCGCCCACACCTGCAGATATTAGTCAGTTAATGTAAAATAATGTAAGTTGTTATCTAATTATACAGTCAATTAAGTGAACAGATTGTTATATACACTGATATCTACTATTATTCTGTTTATTGATAATGAACAGATTTTATTAGTATGTTTAAAGTTGTGTGAGAAAGATGAAGGACATATTTTCATATAATTATTTTTGCCTCTTTTTACTATATAGTAAATATTTATTGTACCTTATGATTGGTTTGCAATTGTTTTAATTAAACTAAAATAGATAAATATGCTAACACTAGTCTGAGCTTGAAATACCTATAAAAAAATGTATAATTTTATTGAGAGCTTTTCTTGAGAATTAAAATAATGGATCTCACTTTTTTCCATTTTTCCATTGATCTATTGACTCCTCCACCAATGGAGTTAAGTAACTCTCTCAACTCCTGCCATAGATGGTCTGCCCGTATCCTGCCTTGAGCCCCTTGTTGGGGTCTTGCTATATCTCCATGGCTATAAATTAAAACTATATTAGAAAAATAAAGGGTCTATTGATTAATCCCTCCACGAGCGCGGACACGCCGGCATGTCAGTTAACAATAAATTTCTTAGAATTTTAATTAATTTCTTAGAAATTTACCTAGAGGTGTCAAGCGTTTTGTTTATTTTCTATGCAAGTAGTAAACCTATTATATTTTATTTATTTTTTGTCAAAGGCTTACTAACTATATTTACATAGTGACATGAGTTTAACACAATAATAGTTCTCTATTTTCTATTTAATTAATTTTCTTCTTTTCTATTTAATTCTATTTAATTAACTAAAAGGCACAGCTTTGTGTAGAAATATTTTAATTAAATTTTATGTGGTTGAGGAATAAATTAAAAAAAGATCTTCAGTTACAATCCCCTATATAATGCGACAAAACGCAAGTATGATAAATAATATACAACAAATAAATATATATATATATCATCAAATCAAAGTGCATTTTATCCTCCATAAATTGAAAAAAAAAACATCGAAATCGGCCAAGAAACAAAAAATTAATGGCCCAATAAACAAAACTGGGCAAAAAGTGGATATTATATATTGACAATATAGGTACCCCGGTGTTGTCTTCTAATAAATTAAAATTGGTAGTGACATTGAAGTTGTTCAACAATTTAATCTTATCTAAATATTTAAATACAATTTCTCTTTAAATAAACTTAAGGTGTTAGGGAAAATGTCTACATTACATTGTTGAAATATACAGTTATAGTTTAAAGCCTCAGTAAGAGTAGCCTCGTTTTTTTCTAGTTCCTGAGTATGACTATAAGCTGAGATAACTAATAATAATATACGTACCTTTCCATGAATTCTAGTAAAGCTGAAAATTGTTCTGGGCTAGCTCGGCATCTGGACTCCATCCTCACTATAATAATTTATTTATATTTGGCACTGTGATATTAACAACACACACAGACTCAGTACCCCAGCTAGAAATGTGTCGAACTTAAGCTAACTAACCCATTTTAAAGTAAAGCTCTTTCCCCTCCGTTGCGCACTTCCATCTCCGTAACACTAATAACTACAAAGTCAAATACATAAATATTTCAATAGACCCTTTTTAAGACAAAACTATTTTTCTTAAAGTGACGACTTACATTACGAGTCACTTCATTTTGTCAAATAAAATATAAATTAATTACTCTGAAGGAATGCTATACTTACTTAAGCGACGATTTTAAATCACTTATCAACCACTTCATAGGTGCTGAACAAAAACATCCACTCTACATCGACCTCACGTAAGCTGCATTCTTGACGTAAAATGTAAATATCCTTACGTTAAAATAAGAATATTGAACACTCAAGTATTTCCATTATAATTCACTCACTTTTTTATCACAAAACAAAACATATTTTGATTTTTCAAACAAGACCGTGACTTTGACGTGTATAGGAACGCTCACAATAAGCTATTTTTCGATCCACATTGTAGAATGAACGATTGACACTGTAGACACTAGTTTTGTTGATATGGCTAGCATCAAATCGTTTTCTAAAATAGCTATCGACAATACGCTACCAATGATAGAAAGAGATTAGATAGGAAACGTTTGTAATATGGCTAAGCCCCCTGATTAGGTATCTATTCTAAATGAAAACCCCCTTTTAGTTATTTTTTACATTTTAGTGCCTGGAAGTCGGTTTTTTTAAACTTTTTATTTTTCCATTTTTAGTGTAGACATAATAAGCAGATAATTTGTAAGAAGAAAGTTTTTTAATAACATATTCGATTAACAATTTATTAAAAAAAAACTTTTTTATTTTTTCGCTCGACCCATTTCGATAAAATTTATATGGGACCACCTGCACCTGGGAAGTATACTTATACCCTATGAAACAATACGAGTAACAATACGAGTAATCGGTGAACATACATAAAAAAAAGATTCCAACGAATTGAGAACCCCCTCCTTTTTGGAAGTTGGTTAAAAATATATAAATATCCGATTGTATCGCCATTTATTTAGTTGGCAACACATCCAGGATCCCTGACCTGACTATTAAAGGCAATTTGTATGCCAACCGCATTCGTGTGAAAGCACTCGCTTTAAATTCTCGTTCATAGTTTTTTTTTTTACCCTTCTCACGTAATATTGTGACCGCGAAAATAACGGCAATAGTTTTGTTAAAGGATAAAGTGTTAAGACACTGTTTTATACTTTATGAAAAATTTCTATACTGGGTTATTTCCACGGCTTAGTTCGCGTTGTAGGTACATAGATATCTAAAATTTAGACTATATCTCATTCTGATGTGAACTAAACTGTAACTCTGAAAAATCCGATCAGTAGTTTTCACGCGAAAGAATAACAAACAAACATAGATACATACACCCTAACAAACTATAGCAATTCTAATATAAGTAGGAAAAATAAATTCTTTTAATTATATCTGATAAAATTGTAGAAATTAATGAAATTTTGTTCTCCGATTTAAAAAGAATATTTCCAATCGCTTACATATGAGTATAACGGACACAGTTGTGAGATGTTTTCCTTTTCCCTTACTACCTAGACAATTGCTGACATCCTATTCAACGATGCAGTTAAAAAATAACTGCTTCGGCTTAGTACATAGCAATCTTTACTTTTAAACTTATAAAACATCTAGATATATTTATTTACGGTTGTTTAGGTACGTTTTGATATCAAGCAAATAACCTATAGAAAAATTTGAAAATTTGGAAAAATCTGTTGAATTAAACACCAATAGATGGCGTAAAATGTGCATATGTAAAAATAATAAATATGTTAAATTGCTAAGGTAATGAAATGAAATAATATTTGTATTTTATATGTAACTAGCGACTCAACCTCGCTTCGCTCGGGTTCGTTCCAAGGTTGATTCCCCATACAAACTTTCATCCCCATTTTCACCCCCTTAAGAGATGATTTCCGGGATAAAAAGTATCCTATGTCCTTCCCAGGGTCTCAAACTATCTTCTTACCAAATTTCATTTAAATCAGTTCAGTAAATCCACAAATTACCATCCCGACCGATTTAGGCCACAGCGGCCTATCTCACAGAGACTAGCCAAGTGCCGAGATTGGAAAAATAATGCTTCTTGTTTTTAATTTGCTCTAACGAAGTTTACACACCAGCGCTAATAATTCAAACGACCGTGTGAATCTTTACATTGCTCATTTAAGCTCATGTTCGATTTCTTAGCACTTCCGGCTTAGACACGCTTGGTAGACTGATAGGCTTGGTGGGTATTTATAAAACTATGTTTTAAGTGTTTAACTTAGATATAGAAACTATAGTTTAACTTCGTGTTTTATTGCGATTCATATAATATAGTCATTCATTTTTTTTATTATAGATTTGTATCGGTTCTTGGTTTTTCAACTTGTTTGTTATAAATACTTTAATTAACCTGGAAATTTTTTGAATACAAATTTTTTAAAAAATAACATGACTATATAAGAAATAAAATCGGTCAAGTGCGAGTTACGGTTCATGAGATCACACAAGACGGGCGGACAAGGACGGACGGACAGCGCAGGCTTAGTAATAAGGTTCCGTTGGCACCCTTCGGGTGCGGTACCCTAAAAACAAATTGCCGATAGCTACCAGTGCTATTGAAATTCTATCCTATGTGACAATACTAAAATTAATTGTTACATGCAAGCAAAACCGCGATTCATAATTAGTTACCAGGTATCACTAAGATATACGGAAAATCAATGGATGGTCATTGCGTGCTGAGAACAATAGTAAAAATTAACAAATTAAAGTGATTGTACAAGCATTAGCATTTAGCGTTCCCGTTAGAAAAAATTACACATGTGATTGGTATTAGTTGATGTCACGAACTATTATATATATATATATATATATATATATATATATATATATATATATATATATATATATATATATATATATGGCTTTGCTTAAATTAATCAAAATAAATGACAATAAAATAATTTACAAGTATACAATTAACAAGTTTTTAGTACTTATCTTCTAAGGCGTTAGTTACATGAGAGACAATTGTTTCAATTTTTTTTTTATTTATAACATTAAAACTTGACAATATCTACTAAACAAAAATGAAGATGGTTTGAGATGGATTGTATAAACGGAGGAAAAAAGGTACTGAAAGGAACAGTCTTTGCATATTTATATGTAGATTAGGTACAAATCAAATACGTACAGTGTACACCATCATCACGCTTAAGAGTGGATTTTTTCGACAAAATTTAATGACACCTTGAAGTTATAACCTATGTTTTAACATAATAAAAGTAAAATGGTTTATAACACCTCCAGGTAAATTTCTAAGAAATGAATTAAATTTCTAAGAAATCTATTGTTAACTGTAACGCCGGCGTGTCCGCGATCGTTGAGGGATTAATTGAATGAAAAAAATCTAAATTGAATATAGGTCTCATCTTTTTTTGAAGTCACTTAAAAACAACTAGTACCTACACGGTATGGAATTAAACGAATCACTCCTTATTCCTTAATAATGGGAAGTTCTTTTAAAAATGTGAACGTCTCTTGTTAAGTCATCGGTAACGTAACGTCAGGATGTTGCCTATTCGGATCGCCATATCTCATCTCGTTGAATTTATATCATGGGGTAATTACGGATGCTGAGTAGAAAATTAGTTTATTACCGCAATACGAAAATGAGGGTTCAAATTTGATCATATAATTGATATGTACACAATACTAGGTATGTTTTTAACATAATAAATTAAAGTTTTGTTTTTTTAGAAGAAAATCTTTTGAGAAACTTTAAAATTATATAAGTTAGAAGAAGTTAATTATTTGTGTAAAATATAAACAGCTCTACTAAATAATTCATATTTTATTATTCCAAATTAATTAAAA